GATGGCTGCCTTTGAGAGCTGAGCATGAGGTGCACAGGGGGCTGAGCTCCTGGGGAGCAGTCTGGGACTGTTTTTGGGGACCCCACTGCATGCCTCAGACCCACGTGTGGACAGTAGCAGTGGGGCTGTACTGGCATCCTAAGAAAAGCTTCAGGTTGCTCAGGGCTTGCTGTCTGCCCTGCCCAGATTTGGGGTGCAATGGGGAGGGATGAGGATGCTCCCACCCCCTCATCCTGCCCACCCACCCATCTGACAGCTCAGAAACCTGGTCCAGCCATCATGGACATCTCCTGGTCCCTGGCCCAGCCATTGCTCATGCCCAGCTTCTCCATGAGTGTGGTTCTGCAGCAGGGACAACCCCATTGAGCATCCCCTGGCTGGGGACATGGAGACCTGGCACAGTGCAGTGACACAGCAATGCTCTGGGGAGCATATGGCATCCCAAAAGCCTCACACCTATTAAACAATACTCCATTGGTCCTGCTGGACTGCATGTCTTGGTCGTATTGTCAAGCCTTGCCTGCGGTGGGGCGGGATGGGGAGAAGCGACCTGCCCTGCTGCATTGCTTTCCTTTAGGTGTTTGCTCTGTTTGTTGTTTGCATGAGAAATTTGGGCGTTGGGGTAGCTGGACAGCTGAAATTGAGGATGACAGAGCCTGTGGGAGCTCCTGCTTGGCCTTGTGCTCCCTGGCTTGTGCCAGGTTTGGTTCTCCTGCCTGATCCTCTCCCCTCTCCCTGCCTGCACCCTGCCTGCAGCCCATACAGAAACCCTCAGCCATGTCTTTGTATGGCTTTCCCTGCCTGACTCCAAACAGGGGATGCAAAGACGAGAGCCCAGACAGCCGGGGTGGGTTTAACAGGCCAAATGGTGGGGACTGGGGTGCATCAGGGTGACACTAACACAGTTCTTGGGCAGGGCTTGGCATTACCTGCGCAGCTCTTGTGGTATTTCCTCAGAGCCCATTTTCTGGATCGCTGTCCCGTGTGCTTTAGGAGCTCTTGCAATATCCCAGCATCAGACACCACTGGTTGTCCCACTGGGGGTGAGCAGGGGACCCCAGTTTGTCCCTTACACTGGGTGTCGGGGTTGCAGCCAGAGGAGTCCAGCACCCATACACAGCACCCACTTTATTCACAGCACCCCCTCATTGACAGCACCCACCCCATGCACAGCACCACCTCATTCACAGCACCCACACCGTACACAGCACCCACCCCATGCACAGCGCCCATGCACAATGCTGCCACTTGGTGTCACCTGCCACAAGAAAGTCAGAGCTGAGGTGTTCCCAGCAGAGCCCTGGGGAGCTCCAGCCATGGGAGGAGGAGCACCAGGGGTGTTCCAAGGCTGAGGTGCCCAGCGGGGACAGCAGAAGCATGGTGTGATTCAGGGTTGTCACGAGGTGGGCATCTTTCTGCCTTGGAACTTTAATGACACAGAAACATGCAATAAATTAAAGCCTTCAAGGCTGGGGTTAAAGCTGACACAGAGTCTCAAAGCACTTTTCACTCTATCTTCATCTCTCCCCAAATACTCCACAGGTGGGTGGTAGGAAGAGTTTGGGAAGGGCCCATCCTTACCCTGGTCATGGCTCCATACAACAGTGCCAGCAGGTCACTGTGTTCAGCCCAGCACCTTGCACCCCAGCTTTCCAACAGCGGAGGGTGACAAAGACCCGGTCTGACCATGGCTCCCTTGTCCCCAGCCCCATGTCCTTGCCCCCATACTCCCATCCGTGCCCCACCACATCCCCCAAGCACCAGAACCCTTGCTGTGTGCCTCTGCTCCTGTTTCTTCAGTGCCCAGCCAGGGGCTGGTCTCTGAAGGAGTTTCTCTGCCCTTCCATCACTTCATTTTGGAATGGTCTTGGCGTGCGGGCTGGGCACCCTGATTCACACCCAGAGTGGGGCTGGTGTTGAGCAACGTGCCCTGGGGGACTCCTCCAGTGCTCAGCACAAGCCCCCTAAGCCGTCCTTGCACAGCGGGTGCTTGAAACAACCTCTCCTGGTGCTGGCCCCAGGGCCAGGCTGTGCAGCTCCTCATGGAGCCCAAAACTGCAGGAGAGGGGACGCTGCAGGGCGCAGCCCTGGCTGGGAACAGGGACCTGGGCTGTCCCTGCAGGGTGCTGGGTCTCCCCTTCCAGAGAAGGGGGAAGTGAAGGCACCTATGCTCTGCTGAGCACTGGCAGCGTGCATGAAGGGGCAGTGGTGGCCCAGCCAGCAGCAGCCCTGTGCTTGGCCAGTGTCCCCAGCAGGCAAGACACTGGGGACATCTCTCCTGCCATGTGCAGCAGGCGGGCAGTGCGGGGCTGGCAGAGCAGCTGAGCTGGGTTCACAGCCTCCTGGGCTCTCTGAGCACAAGAACTGGAAGTGGCCTTACTTTTAATAGTCGTGTTGGTTTTTTAATTGGTTTGGTTGGTTTTTTCCCAGCGAATTTTGTACTTCTTACCTGATCCCAGATAGCCACAGGCGATGGGTGATGAAACCCTGGGGAGAAAAAGCATTTTGGGATAAGGGTCCCTAAAATTTCAGGCCCTCACACAGCCCGCAGCTGCAGGCAGGTTTGAGCTGGCGCTTTACTTTTAATAGTCGTGTTGGTTTTTTAATTGGTTTGGTTGGTTTTTTCCCAGCGAATTTTGTACTTCTTACCTGATCCCAGATAGCCACAGGCGATGGGTGATGAAACCCTGGGGAGAAAAAGCATTTTGGGATAAGGGTCCCTAAAATTTCAGGCCCTCACACAGCCCGCAGCTGCAGGCAGGTTTGAGCTGGCGCTGCAGGTTTGTGCCCTGCTTCGGGGCTGGGCTGAGCTGGAGGATGCCTTTGAATTATTTCCAGATGGGGATTAATGCAGTGTGCTGCAGGGTAGATAAACAAACCAAAGCTCCTCTGGATGCTATTAATAAACCGCCTGCTTGCTGCTTCTGCCCCCGATTTGGGAACATCCCGGTCCTGGCCTGGGGTGCAAGCACGCGCTCCTTGCTGCACTTCCAGTCCTTTGGCCATGGGCCAGAGGTGCCAAGGATTCCACTGGGACTGAGACCGCCGGGATCCCCAAATGGCAAAGCTGCTGCATGGGTGTGTGTGGAGGGCAGTGCCTGTGCTCCGAGTGCCCGCTCTGGGCTGCGGGTGGGCTGAGGTGCTGCCTGCTGTGCCCACTGAGCTCTGCTGGGGATGGAGGTGACCCCTCTCCTCTCCAGCCATTTGCTGTGGGGCTTCGGGCGGCTTTGAAACTGGAGCAGGTATAAACAGGGTGGAGGCAGACTTTGAGCCCTCCCGTACCGGTGCTGCTGTACTGGGGTGAGAATAAACAAGTTTTGGGTGGCTGCAGCCCAGTGAGCTCACCTTTACCCATGTGTTCGTGTGTGGGGGCTCCTGGGTGTCCCTCAGTGTGCACGCAGATGTGTGATTCTGCTGGGGAGGAGGTTCACATCCCACCTCTCCTCATTTTGCCATTGCTTGTGGTCTTCTGCCAGGGGCAAAGAGAGCCCAGCTGGTCTCAGGAGGTGGCCAGTGGCTCCCAGCAGAGCTCCCCACTGAGAATCTCTGAGCATAGTGGGCCAGCGCAGATGAGGTTAGACCTGCCGATGATATGATTTAAGCTTCGTTCCACCCCAGTCAGCTATGGGAGTCCTGGGTCCTTAGACCCTTTGTACGTGGCTGGTGAGGCAGCACACCCATGGGGGTGCCCCGTGGGGAGGATGGAGGCCAAGAGATGGGTCTGAGTTTGCTTTTTCCCAGCTCTCCAGCCTGCAGCGCACACAAGCAGTTAATCGCAGGCGGTGCGGAGCTGGCTGCTTACCTGGCTGGAGCGGTGCCTGGCAGAGGGAGGGACGAGGCCACAGCTCTGCACCTTGCCAGGGCAGGCACTGCTGTAAAAATATTTGCTGAAAAAAAGTGCAGCTCCACCCTGAGGAAAACTGAGGCCGGGAGCTCAGTTCACTCTGGGCGTGCAGAAGGAGGGTGGCAGCGAGCGGCGCAGGGGGGAATGTGTGTGGCTGCGGGGGAGCCGAGCACATCCACCCGCTCCCCTCGCAGCCAGGCACTGCCCAGCACGACTGCCCGGCACCACTGGGCTCACCCAAGGGTGCCGGGCAGGGACGGGTTGGGGTTAGGGCCTGGGGGTGAATCCTGGTGGCAGAGGTCGAGGAGCCCTCGCCGGTGGGCAGCCATGGGCCACTGGAGGGGGTTTGGCATGGTCCTGGT